GGGCCGTCGAGCAATGGTTCGCCGGCGCTGACGACGCGACGCGCGCCGTGTCCGCCGACGTGAATGGGCCGCTTTTAGCTGCTCTGCTCGACATGACGAGCTACGATGACACGGCCGCGGCTGATCTGTTCCGCTACGGCGCGCCTTTGCTCGGAAAGCTGCCCCATGCGGGCAGAGGGCCCGCAAAGAAATTCCCGGAGCCCACGTCGTCCGAGGAGTTGCGGACCTCCTCCCCCGTGCACAATAGAGCCATTTTGTCTTCCTTGCGAGAGGACGTGAACTCGTCTGCGATCCACGAGGGCGCGCTCGCCGATGCGTCTCTGTCGCGGATGACCGCTCCGGTTGTGCTGGCCAAGGCGGACTTGGGCAGGGTGCGTCTGTCCCCGCGTTTCTCCATTGTGCAGGGCGTCAAGCCGGATGGCGCGCCCAAGGTTCGCGTAGTAGACGATGAATCGAGAGGGGGCATCAACTCGGCGTGCCAGCCCGCCGAGAGGTTGTTGCTGGACGGGGCTGACGTTTTGGTGGACGCCCTGCGCTGCTATCACGGTCTGCGCGGGCACGCACCGGCTCTGTTTAAGGCTGGCGTCGACTCCGCTTACCGGCGTGTGCCTATCGCTCCTGAACACAGGCTCGGGATTTCCGGGTGCCCCCCCCCGTTAAAAGCATCGACCTGGGGGCTCGTGTCGGGGTTCCAGAGGAACCCGGCGTTTGCGGTGTCGATGTCGGCCTTGCCACAGGTGGGCAGCTTACAGCACGTATTTGCACGACGGAGACATTTGGGTCACTGGTCACCTGGCGTTGATGTTCGGCGCCCTGGCTGCCGTCTTTGGGTGGGACCGAGTCGGAGCTGCCTTGGCGCACCTCGCCCGCAAGCTCTTAAAGATTCCCACCCTCCGATACGTGGACGATTTCTTTGGGCCGTGCGCACCCGCAACTAAAGAGCATACCATGGCATCGCTGGCCAGACTAGTGCGCCTGCTCCTAGGTCCAGGAGCGGTTTCCGATAAGAAGCTGGAATGTGGCGACGAGCTGGAGATTTTGGGCCTGCATGTGTCCTTTTCTCTCAGCGGGATCAACTTGTTTCCCGCGCCCAAGAAGGTGCGCAAGTGGCTTTTCTTGATCAAGCAAGCGCTCGACTGCGGGACACTATGTGCCGGCCAAGCCAGCAAGCTGGCCGGCGCTCTCAGCTGGGCAGGTCAACATTGCTTCGAGCGGCTAGGGCGTGCGATGTTGCAGCCCCTGTTCGCGCAGCAGAATGCGCGACGGGGTGTCGTTCGCGCCCCGCTCAACTTGGCGCTGTCATGGTGGGCGGAGGTGCTGGCCCTCGGCATCCATCAGTCCAAGCCGTGGGCGCAGCTGGAACGGCAAGAAGTGCACTTGTTCGCTGACGCAAGGGGCGGGTCCGATCCACGGCTCGCCGCCGTGCTGTTCGTCGATGGTCGCGCCTTCTGGTCCGACGCCCCTCCAGACCAGGAGCTGCTGGAGGACTTGGCGCCGCGCCGGGACTCTCAGATTATGGCGTTAGAACTGCTCGCTATAGCGCTGGGATTAGCTACCTTTAGTGAACTGCTGGCGGACCGCCGAGTGGTGATTTGGTCCGACAATGTGGGCGCAGAAGGGGCAGTGCGGAGCGGTCGCGCTTCCGCTTGGGACCACTCCCGCATCATTCACGCCATGTGGTTCCTCATCGCACGCACCCGGTGTTCGCCGTGGTTTGCGCGGGTCCCATCAGCAGAGAACATCGCCGACCTTCCGTCGCGGGAGGAGTACGAGTTGCTACGTGTTCTTGGGGCGAACTTCGTGACGCCGCGCTTACGCGCGGCTGAGTTCTTCGCACCGGAGACGTTTCTGGCCCGCGCTCTGCCGGCGGGAGCGCGCCGTCGCGCGTCGTCGCGCCCCGCGAGCGCCGTTGCGCATCGAAGGCGGCACGAAGCAACGAAGGCGAGTGAGCCGCTGTCCCGCGTCGAGCCCGTTGCGAGCCATGCCTCGCGCGTGCCTTGCGAGGGCGGCCCGCGCGAGTTGATGCCAAAAGCCGACAGTGGAAGCTGCGTCGTTAACCGGCCCCATCGATGGGCGCCTGGTCGGTTGTCCTATGCGTCAGCGCGCGGTCCCAGCGCAGCCAGCGACGGGCGCTCAGTCGAGCGATAAGCCATGACGTTGTTTCATGAGGTCCGCGGCGTCCTGCCAGAGCTTTCACCCATGGTTACCTTTGCGTTGATCGAGTTGCTGCGGCGCCAGGACATAACGCATCTCAGAGATCTGCAGCTAGCGCGCGTCGATTGGTTCGAACCGGTGTCTGCCGCAGAAGGGGAACGAGGCGTCAGCCCTGACGCCCTGCGCGTAGCGCTGTCAGAGTTAATTAACGAAGCGAAGAAGCCATCTGCCGTCGTGCGCGGCGCAAAGGACGAACCTCCGCCTGCACCCGACGTGCATCAGCGCGAGTGCCGCAGCCGCAGTCGCCCTGCCAGGCGGCGAGCTGCCAAGTGCGATGAGCTTTCGGCGGCTTGCGGTGCTGTGCGGGACCTTGAGCTGGCCGTCAGCATAGCGCGCCAGTGCACCATCGAGCCGCGCGCGGGCCCCCGCCGTGAAGTCGAGGCCCTGCGGCAGGGCCTCGCCCAGCGAAGCTTCAGCGAATGGTCGAATTCGGCTCGGGTCGCCGCGATTCTGGGCAGCTGCCCGAAAACGTGGCCCAGCGTAGTCAGCGCCTTCCGCTGCTGGGCGACTTTCGCCATGACCGTGCTCGGCTGCGACGCGGGGGAAGTGATTCCGCCGTCGCCCGAGGGCCTTGCATTGTGGAGCACATGCTTCCGTTGTAAAGGAACATTCGACAACTATATTTCGCACGTCAGATTAGTCTGCATCCTGTTGCGCGTCCCGCTGGACGCGCTGAGCGACCCGGCAGTCGAGCGCGCGGCTCGCGCGGTGCAAGCGCGAAACACTTGGCAGGCCAGGCCCAAGATGTTTATTCGGGAGGCGCTCCTCACCAGATTACTGAAGCATCTCGAACGCCACCAATCGGGGCGCGAGCTGCAGATGCTTTTCTTGACGGCGTACATATTCCTGTTGCGATTGCCGTCGGAAGCACTGCCGATGCACGTCGCTCGGGACGGCGATCCGCCGCGGGCGGTCGAGCCGAAGAGCTGCCTACGCCTGCATGACGGCTCGATCTCGCTGACGTTGCTTTGGCGCAAGAATCGCGCCACGCCGCTCACGATGACGCGCACGTGCTGGTGCGCGCGCTGTCCATCAACGTGCCCCGTGCACGCGCTGGGGAAATTCTGCGCCGACAGCGCGGCCCAGCAGCCTTTTGCGGGTTTCCGCCCGGACGCTGTCCTATCGGCGTTGAGAGCGGCCCTGCAAGAGCTCGGGGTGCCGCGGCACGATGCCTATCGCACCCACGATTTTCGTCGGGGCCACGCCCAAGACATGGCGGTGCGTGGCTCGCGGCTGGCCGACATCCTTCGCGCCGGAGATTGGCGGTCCGCCGCCTTCCTGTCATATTTAGACAGGGATGCGCTTGAGGACAGCGCCGTCAGGGAAGCGCACGGCGGCGCTTCGTCCAGCGACGAAGACAAGGACTGAGGTGGCTGTGAGCCTATAGAACACCTTCGGCGAGAACAGCGTTGGGTTTTCCTCGCGCGCAGGTGCAGCAAGGGCCTTGGGTGTCGCTGCACCCGCGCGCTCCCGCGGGGAGCGGCGAGCGACGAGTGCGCCGCTCGCCCCCCCCCGCGGGCGCGTGCCTACCCAACGCGCAGCGCTCCCCGCGCTCTCCCCCAACCCTCGGGTTTTCCAGGGTAGCGTCTTTTGTGGGCGAGAACACAACGCAGTTTTGTTCGTTGTCACAAAAACGCGGACCTGGGAACCTTCTACCCCTGCCGCCCCGCCGCTGGCGCCGCGGTTCGCCGCGGTGCCTGTGGTGGGGCGGGTTGGGTCGGTTGGGGGGTGCGTTTGGGGTGGCTCGCCTCAGGTCTTCATGGACTTCGTGTTCCTCGTCTTGTTCGTGTTCTTTGTCCACGTCTCCCTGCGGTGGGGGGAGGGTAAATATACCCCCGCGTCGCGCGCGCTGCCCCGAGGGCGCTTGTCGGCCGAACGCGAGGCTGGCGCCCTCGGTGCGCGCGTCGCGGGCCGCCGTGGCGGCTTTTGTTTCCCCTCACCCTTCGCCGCTCCTTTGGTTGGGGTGGGGCGCGGGGTGTCGCTGCACCCGCGCGCTCCCGCGGGGAGCGGCGAGCGACGAGTGCGCCGCTCGCCCCCCCCCGCGGGCGCGTGCCTACCCAACGCGCAGCGCTCCCCGCGCTCTCCCCCAACCCTCGGGTTTTCCAGGGTAGCGTCTTTTGTGTTATCTTTCGTCGAAACTCCCCCTGTAGGGGGACACGCCCGACATAACCTTTGGTGCACGGCTCGACGGGGGACGCGGGGTGGCCAAGGCCCGGGCGCGCAACACCTTTTCTTGGACTTGCGGGCTGCATCTGGCATGGATCCGTCGCCTCAGCACAGCGGCGGCTCTGGTGGGAGTGCCGACCACTGCGCAGACAGCACCAAGATCGGAAGTGTCCCCTTACGGAGGTTGGCCGCGGACGAGCGCTACCCACTTGACTCCCCCGAAGGTCATGCATCTTGAGCCAAATTGCTACGGAAAGGCGGAGGAGGATGAGGATGAGGATGAGGATGAGGATGAGGAGGAGGAGGATGAGGAGGAAGACGGCTATGAGGAGGAGGAGGAGGAGGAGGGGGAGGAGGAGGAGGACGAGGACGAACAAAATGATGATGATGATGATGATGATGATGATGATGATGATGATGATGATGATGATGATGATGATGATGATGATGATGATGATGATGATGATGATGCTGATGATGAGGAGGAGGAGGAGGAGGAGGAGGAGGAGGGCGAGGAGGAGGAGGAGAAGTAGGAGGAGGAGACGAGGACGAGGGCACGAGGAGGAGGATGAGAGTGAGGAAGAATAGGCCCCTCCCAGGCCCCGGCCCCCCGCCCCCTCCGCGAAGGGGTGCCTCGCCCCAAAGGCGGGGGCCCTCTGCCGCGGCGCGCTGCTTTGACGGAGCCAGGACGAAAGCTGCGCACGGGTAGCTCGTCGGGCGTCGGGCGGGGGCGGAGGCGGAGGACGCGAAAGGGGGGGCAGACGCCCATCCTCCCCCCCAGCCCCCCCTGCCCCTCCTGTCCCGCCCTCCGCATCGCCCACCCCCCATTCCTCCTTTTGCGCCCGCCCCTGGCTCCAAGACTTCGGCTCCCCCTTCCCCGCCCTTTTGCGGGCCCGGGGGCCGTTAGTACACGATTGGACTTGGAGCCTAGCAGGATGGGTGTGCAAGTGTGCAGGACGAAGGCTCTCTCGGAGGCGCGGAAAGATACCAGGCTCACCGAGAAATGCACTGGCACCTCCCCTCTTAAGATTCAGCGAGAAATGCTGCGGAACCAACACTGGTTATGGACTCGTAACACAAACTGTTCGCCTTTCCTGTGAGACAGCTCCTCAGCGAGAAGGCCCCGAACATGCGCGCACCACGGAGCTTGTGGTCTGCAACTGTTCAAGAATCACACGATACGAAACACGATGAACGAATTGCGGCTGCGCCATCGACCTGCGATCCGAACGCAACTGTTGGGGCAATGTTGCCGCGGTTTTGCGAATGCCAGCAGGTGGGCTTAACCAGAAGGCCCATTACAAGGAGCACGCCCAAAGCACCAATCATTACCGAACATTTGGGTACCTGGCAACTCTTTCCTGCGCCTACCATCGGTACTTCGCAACATGATCATCTACATCATCTCCCTCCGCTTGCTTCTCTTGAACCTCGTCGTCGTCGTCGTCGTCGCCTCCATCTCCCTCATGCCCTCCTCTTCGCGCCGCCTATTATTCCTCGCAGCCTCCGTTTCGCCTTTGCGAGCACAACTGAATATCCCATACCGTGCCAAACCACCGCATGCGCACCGAACCGAACCATACTTGCTATGGTTCCAGCTGTCCTGCCAACTGACCAGAGTTTGCCAGGAGAGAGAATCTGATCAGACAGAGGAGCAGGGGGGAGGGAACTGAGGATAGGAACAAGGGGGAGAAGAGAAGAAGGGTGATGGGGAGGGAAGCGAAAGGGGAAGGATGGCAAGGATGAGGCGGATAAACGAGAGGAGGAGGAAGTAAATGAGTGAGAAGGAATGGGGGGGGGGGAAGCGGAGGGGATGGAGGGCTTTTCGCTCAGCTGGCGGCCATCGACCACAGAAGGAGGGAGAAAGGAGGGGAGGCACGCTCAGTATCGGTTTTTACATGCATGTTGCGTGTGAATGCTACTGCTACTCAGGCACTTGCCGATCGAAGAGATGGAACATCTGATATTTTGGATCTTGTTCAACCTCACTCTCGACCACTTGAAGATGTGTGTTCGTTCCGATTCGCCGCCGCTGAAGCGGATCAAACATTGCGCTGGTCCGCGCGAGCGCCACAACGCTGCTCGGCGAGGAGAACAACTTCCTGAGCAACCGTCTCCTGTGGGACGCACAGAGACCTACTAGGACGATATGTCCTCCTTGGAGATGCGCGTCCGACCCAAACATATAGTATACCCATTTTGTAGTATATCGTTTCCCGAGCGGGGTGGCCATAAAGCGCCCGCCACGACGCATATACTATAAGATTTCTCGGTGCGCGCGTCGCCACTTGGGGGCGACGCACATGTAGTAGAATGGTGTTGGGGCGACGCCGATCCTGTACAGCTTCAGGAGACAAAACCACTAATTCTATCTTGTTGTGGGTCTGCACGTGTCGATCCTGATCCTGATGCTTCTGGCCAGGGATTTTCTGTGGCGTCGCAATCAAGTCCTAGGCTGCTGGATTTTTGTGGCCCCACCAACGATGACCTAATGGCCCACACTTCATCGGGGCCTCCCGCCATTCGAACAATCATGTGGAGATATCTGCTGTGTTCTTTGCTTCATCTTCGGTACATGACCATTTTCGCCACCATCGTCATCTTCAGCACCGTGCGCCTTCGTCATCTTCTTCTCCACAAGAGATTTCGCAAGCCATTATTGAATAGGATTCCGAGTATGCTGCTGGATTGATTCAACGGCTTACACGGGCTCGGCAAAACCTTAGTATCGTCTTGAGAACTCGCCAAATTTCTGATGAAGTGGTTCAAAATGCGATTTGGCCGAAGGTGGTCGACATGTGTCGACGTGTGTCGACGTGTGTCGATGGGCCAGGCCTTCGGGCTGATCCGGGTTCTCAGTGGACAAGTAGCCCTTGTCTTTCAATAACATGGCTTCGTCAACTCCTACCCATGAGGCACATCTGCGGCCATCATAGCAGTCCTGCCTCTGGAGCGGGCCACATCAGGGGGAATTGCTGCCAAACTCTTTCGATCGGCTTCTACGTGGGGCAAACGATGGCAATGCAATAAAAGAACAATGCTGCGAAGTCTAGATACCGATGGGGCCCGCGAGACACAGCCTCCCGAAGGAATCACTCGCCAGGAAAAGCTCGCCAGGGGAAGAAAGGGGGGCAAGATGCGGAGGAGAAGGGGCGCGCCCGCACCCGCGCCACGATCGGAGCTTGTTGCCCGCTTCGGGCGCCGCAGGTGCCAGCCCCCCCATCTGGCGCAACCGGCGGCGCTCGATGAGCACCGCGCCGCTCCCCACAAAGCGAACGCGGCACATCCCGCCCCGTGCGGCATTCCGCTCGCCGCGGGCCAGGAGGGCACATTCCTCGCCTGGAGGAGCACGAAGCGGTATTGACATAAACTTCCGGAGCCCCGCGCAAGATACTCGGATCGGCGGTGAGCCCCCCTGGCGGCGCATCCGGTGCCGCCGCAGCAGCGTTCCGCGCGCCGGCGAAAGAGGTCAAGTGCCGAAATGATTTGCCAGAGCATGGGAATGTTTTGATGTTACGATTGCTACGCAAGCTTGTTCTGCAATCGTCTCTGAATCCCCCCCACATGGACTTGGCCATTATGGAATCCGACAAGCCATGTGTGCATGTCCATTGCGCGGAGGCCTACAAATAGGGATGACGATTCGCGCGCGCTGAGAGGGGGGCGCGCGGACCTTTTCACAGCCTATTTGCAGCCTCGTACAGCCGCAGAGCATCCAAGGACCAGCGGCGGTGTCTGATGACGACGGCGGCGGGAGACGGCGAGGATGAAGCCACGTGAACTTCCCCCGCGGCAGGATGCGTAAGCCTGACGACGGCTCTCTTCGGAGTTGCCAGACTTCAAGTCATCCCAGGGCGCCATTGCCCCCCCGGCGGCAACCCCAACGACGAACGGCGGGATGGCATCTACTCCTGGGAGAGCTCTCGAAGCGGGCCGAAGCAGACAGAAGCACCATGCGCCAGCCCGTACCGAACAATGCTCTTTGTCAACAACTTTGTTGTCCTGACCTTCGCGAGCGCGTACGCCACCGGGCATCATGCGGCTGAGCCGCGCATGCCGCTCAGGGTTGGGGACGTGCTCCTATGCGCGATCCATTCTTCGATCATGTCCAAGGCAACATACGGCTTAGCCACGCGCTCCTTAAGTATTCAGCAGTCATTCAGATCATCTTTGTTCAACAGCTGAAACCCGAACTGTGCTTCATTTCGTGTTCCTTTGCCTTCTCCATTTGCGCCCTTCTAGGAAGAACCAATATTTGTAATCGCGTGTTCTCCGCCACTGCCAACTCCTATGCTACTGATGACGCGCCCGCCATCCAGTCCCTCCCCAATAGTGCTGTCGGTACCCCAGTCTCCCGTCTTGTTGTTGTCGCGCTCCCTCTAGATGTTTCGGCCTCTCTGATTCATCGTCGAGGTCCCCGCGGGAGCCGAGGCTACTGAAAGGTCCGCCCACAGGAATCGTCACGTCACCGCACGAATATCCGATGTGCGTCTAGCCTCGAGTTGTGGCGTACCTCGGGCGTCCCCAAGGTCTGCTCTCTTCGACGGCGGCGGTGGAGACGTCCAACGACCAGGCGGTGCCGGAGGGGGGGGGGCATAATATCTCCAACAGGGGGAAGCCGTCGGTCGAACCGCTCGCCGCGCCAGGAGCAGCATGCACTGGCATTGCAATATCGGAGCCCCGAGCATCGCCGCTGACTGGGTCAGCCGTGGCCCCGGGCAAAGGCGCACTTATTGGACTGGCAGAGGCGCCAGGGGTAACTCCACCAGCCGAGCTGGCACCAGCCTGGGTGCCCGCCGCGCTCGTTTCGTCATTCCTACCGGCATTTGATTCGCTGGAATGGTCGCCATCCGTGAGATCAGCATTGTCGGCTGAATTGACACTGGGCCTCCAGCGTTCTTTGTGTGCGCGAATGACGCCAATCGCGATCGTGGCAGGTTGTTTGTCGTATTTAGCCGTCATCGGATCCTGCAACCCTGCATTGTCGAAGGAGGTTTCCTCGGCCCCGTTCAATTGGCCACCGAGCTCTGAGATGCGCGAGTGCATTCTGGATGCGAGAGCGAACGCTTTGGACCTGCGGTTGAGCCCCGGATCCTCGATGCGCGCTCGGCAAATTCTGAACTTTCAAATGCTGTCCTGACTTCCGCGTCCAGCGCGTCAGCGTCAATCCTCCGCTGCTTAGGGTGGCGCTCAGATCCGAGCGGTACCTTCGCATCTACGCCCCCGTCGGAAAAGACCGCGCAGCGCCCCCCCGTTATATATATATATATATATACACATGTAACAAATCTGTATGTATGTGTATATATATATATATATATATATCAATTCGTATTATAAAAAATCGCGATTGCCGCCTTGACTTTCCCGAGGACCCTTCAGGGCCGAAGCTCGAGGTGCAACTTGGGAACTGCCCAGGAGTGGCCAACGCAGCTCATGAGGAACATGGGCGGCTCGCGGCTGTCATCGCTGCAATCAGCGCCCCGCGCGTGCTCCATCGCGCGCTGGGGCGCCGCGCTCTTCGAGGGGGCCTCGGAGGTCGCGGCGCATGTTGGCAGTCCGGGGCTCTCTGCCAAAATAAGGAAGGGCTGATCCTGCGACCCGCTGGGTTTGAGAATGTCGCCCTGTTTCCACCCGTTGCGCAGTCTAACGCGCGCGGGGGTTCGCGGTGGCGAGGTTATATGGAAATGTCATTTC